CAAAACACTTTTTATCAGATCTTCAAAAAACACAAGATTCGTAATGCGCAATCAGGGTATCAAAGGATTCCTTGAAAATTATCCAAGCAATGAAAATAGCAATACCATAAGGATTGCAGAAAAAATACGAGCTATCTGCAAGTTTCATATCTTGTGGAATAATTTTTTTTACGATCTAATGTGCTTACGCTTTGCTCTAATGTAGTAAATGACAGTACTTGGCTTCTAATCTATTTTGCAGCCTACAAATTCATTCACGAGAATACTGTACAGAATTATGTCATTCTTTTACTTTTTCACCTAATAATTGTCTTGTTTTCATATTGCAGAGCAAAATATGAATGTCAATACGAAGAGGTGACAATGAAAATAGGAGTCCACTCTAATTCAGACGAACAATCCGGATAAGGTGGGCATTTATATTGTCGAGTCTCAGTAGCTCAGGGGTAGAATTCGCTTCTATAAAGCCGAAGGTCCTCGGTTCGATCCGGGAAGCGGACACAAATTTTTCTATTTCGTTTATGAGCATTCCAGAAGCTTCTGGAATGTTCAGTCCATGTCATTTCCTCTTTCGTTGTTCCTAGGAAGCTTCTAGAACATTCCGTGATAGTATAAAAGCGATCCCGTGATTGTAAAGAGGAGTTCTTCTGGACGCAGACTGGTTCCCGGTGCTTGCAAATTCCTGATGTTAATAAATTATCAAAACCTCATCTTGTAATCTTCACTAAATCTAAACACTTTAACGTGACAAATTTGGTGGTGGCGCCGGGTAGGTCGCTCCGAAAAACTTCTCAAAAAGTATTTCGGCCCGTATCAAGTTTTGCGTCGCATTTCGGAGGTCACATATGAAGTTCAAGATTTTGACCCTACATCCAGGAGACGTAAACCAAAGGACATCGTTCATGTACTCAGGATGAAACCCTACTATGCACCTGAGGCACAAGAGGACTTGTTTCCAGGCACCCCGAGTACAGACCAAAACGTGCGGGTCGCCAGAGTTCAGAATCAAAATGCAAGAACTGATGTCTCCAAGGCGACCACGGCCTATTCCGGACCAATAACAAGATCACGCAGGAACCTATAACAGCGAGACGCTGTACTTTTAAGACGGGAGTAATGTCGAGTCTCAGTAGCTCAGGGGTAGAGTTCGCTTCTATAAAGCC